TATCCTTTTGTGAAATACCTCACATTCTGGATCAGGGTTTCAGCAATTGATTTAAAGTCACATGATAGTCACATGGTTTTTCTGTTGCTGTGTACGTCCTCTTGGACAACTTTTAATCTGGTTTTAAGTTTTGTTTTAGATTGCTCCCAGGAATAATGTAGGATTTTAAATTATTGCGTTTTCAAACTTGCAGTAGATCACAAGGTTTCTAAAATCGATGTTTCCAGTTCCCCGTAATACCTCTTTTGCATCTTTGCATTAGAATTTCTCATTATATTCAAATTTGGTCATTATTTCAAAATGATGTGGTGGGTGTTCAATGCTATGAAGTGTTTCATTTCAAAATTTTTGTCCAAATTGACCCCTCCTTTATCATAGAATCATAGAAAAGTGAAGTTGGAAGGGGCCTACAAGATCATCAAATCCAACCCCCTGCTCAAGGAAGGAATATGATCAAAGCATATCTGCCAGGTGGTTATCTAAGTTTTTCTTGAATGCTCTAGTAAAATAAAGTGCCTCTAGTATGAAATAAAGAACTCTGTGATTTCAACGTCAACCATTTCCCATTCTCTCCTGTTTCAAGTTCCTGTACTACAGTGTACTGTTACGACACATGATGGTGTCATCATCCAGCATACATGTTTCTCTATGTTTGATGTTAAGGACATTTTAATTTTCCCCCTCCAGAGTTCCAAGTGGCAGGCTTAACCGGTACTCTGTCTGCACAGCCATCCCATTGCATACTTAAAGGGGCTCCTGACTCCTGTTTGGTTCCATCACATGACTTCCACCCTCATTTTGTCTCGGCTTGCTGACATGTTCAGCCAAGATATGGTGTGTGTGTTTTCAGCAAACTGCAGTAACAACCTAATAAATTCAATGATGTTGTGTGTCACCAGTAAGACTGGCAGTAAAAAAATCTGCCATGTTTGGGAGACACTATTGCTGCTCTCCACAAGACTGGAATATTAAAGTGACTCAGCGACAGAGCAGCTGGTACCTGGTCTTCTGTTTACTGCATGCCTTTCACGGCTGAATGTGCTGCTTCCCGCTCTTTTGATGGGGCAGGTTATCCCTGAGACCATGACCTGCCCTTAAACCAAGGGGAGGAAAACAACCAAGAGAATCCCTTGCAGTGTTTCCGACCCCCTGCCAGAATCCCAACTGTCCCTTTGCAATAATTCGCCACCAGGAGATTTGAAAAGGCATCCTGTTCTTGCGGCTTTGTCCGACTACCTGAAATCAATGACTCCAGAGGTACAATCCCTCAACGTTCTTGGAAGGACGTGGTTCCCAAACCCTTTGGACTCATGGCTTCCTAGAGCGGTGGAGCAGGAGGCATGGCAAAGGGTGTAGGGGGAACATGAAGAAAAAGGAGCGTGAAGGAGCCGGAGCTGGAGGAGAACCACCAGCGGCAGCACCGCCGGGTTGGCAAAGAGACCGAAAGAGCCTTCCACAGCATCCATGGCTAGGTTTGGTGGGGCCAAACCACATAGAGAAACTTGGAAACTTACTGACACCCACGCTATTTGATGAAATGTGGGACTACACAATGGGGCACCGAACCTGCTGGGCTGAGCCTGGTCATGGGAACTGGTTGCCTGATCCGCGTTGGCCCTTCTGGGATGGCCAGCTCTGGCTCCCAAGCTTCGGGATGGAAATCGCAGAGTCCCTTCGACCTCACATTGAGAGGCAGAGAAGCATCACGAGAGAAGCAGTGCCATCTGAGGCAAGAGGCTACTTGTATATTTCTTTTCCAGTTGAAGATACATCATCTCCACTCATCCTTCTAGTTATTTGTTTCCTACTCCGAGAGTGAAACAAAACCACCAAGAAACAAGAGGGAGGTGTCAGCCCATCTACAAAATTAGCAGGAAACAAATCAATTAAAAATAGGTCAACCCACAATTGAAAGGCTCCTCCAAGAGAAGTGAGGCTACCTTGACGGATGGCTGTCACAAACTCCAAACAGGAACATGTCTCATAGGGAGCCAGACTTGGCTAGCCCTGTTTCTTGCTCCTCCTCTTTTTTTTTAAGGTGGCCATCCTTTTCTTCCTTCAAGGTGCTGGACCAGCTAGTGATGGAGAGGAGCACCGGGAGAATCCAGGTTAATGGGCTGCAAACCTGCATAAATATTACCAGGTTATGTGACTACCCTAGGAAAATGGAAACATGTTAAACATGGTAAAATCCATGTGGCAACTACGGCCTCTCTGGATGGGGTTTGTCTCCCGCACACCCTCACCTACACCCCTTGATATGGGTGGCGCTTGCCAGGGTCTGCTGAGTGGCTCCCTCCAGGCCCAAAGGTAATTTTTTTCATCCTGTTTGCAGCCCCTGCAGTAAGAGGGCTCACAAAAGAGGTGCTGGGGCTGCCTTCCCAGCCTTTCTGCAAACGACAGGATGGGCCCAAAAGGCCTGCATCCTCTGGCTTTCTTCCCACCAGCCTCTCCTTGCTGAGTTTATGTTGCACCAGGGGAATACAAAACAAGATTTTCCCACGATCACTAGGATTACTCGGTCAGCTTTGTATTGGTCCCCGAAATTTCAAGGCCAAAATGGGAGGCCAAGCAGAGGTCCCTCTGGCAGAACACTGGGGGGTCCTTCTGTTGTCACAGAGCGGGCAAGGGTTAGAGGGGATTCAGAATTGCTTCTGGGCCAGCCGAGGGCAGAAATGGGGCCATCCAAACAAAGAGACCCAGAACCCAAGCAAAATCTTGGGACAAAGGAGAGGGCCTTCACTGTCGCTGCTCCTCGACTCTGGCCTTCCCTTCCATGAGACGCCAGCTTGGCCCCATCTTTCCCATCCTTCTGCAAGCAGGCTGAGACGTCTCTCTTCAGGCAGGCTTTCCCTTAGTGACTGGCTGTCTGAGAGGGGTTTTGAAATAGGATTGTTGTGCCTTACGCCTTTTAAGTGTGTCTTAGTATTGGTTGGTTGGTTGGTTGGTTGGTTGGTTGGTTGGTTGGTTTGTTTGTTTGTTTATTTATTTATTTATTTATTTATTTATTTGATTTCTATCCCGCCTATCTAATCAATTAAGATTACT